TGGGGAGTGTACCCAAGAACATGTATAGGGTTGGCAGACAATGGTCCTATAACTTTATGTGTATGATCTGAATTCCCAGGTGTATAGTGGAGCTGACAAAGGGCAAGGTTGCTTGGTCACAGCCAGCTACCCAGAGGGACCGAGTAGTTGAACCTGTGGGCTCGGGACCATAGTCGCAGAGGACACTAAGCTCAATTGGCATAACATACTACACAAAACATAGTTATACCTCCTACTGCGGTGAGTAGCGGCTGGGATTTTAAAAGCTTGCAAGCTGTCATCTAGATGCAATGATCGGTCTCTCCTCATCCAGAGTCGAGAGGAATAAAGAAAACCAAAAATTCATGGAAACAATTAGTCCTAGCAACTGATACACCATCCAATCTGCAGTCTATACAACTATGAGTCCAGAAGAACTAGATGGTGCCTGGGTACTACTGGCATGATCTATGGAGGAGATCGTTGATAGACAGGGAGAACAATGTAGAACAAAACTCAGAATCATTTGGAAAGAAAAAAAAAGGGGGGGGGGCGTGGGACCAAGTTTCATGGCTCGGCAGAGCCTGGTAGAACCACTGAGACTATTGCCACTAGCTGCCGTTCAGGTCTGGAATTGAATGCAGGCCTGTGGCTTCCAGCTAAACAACAGACAGGCATATGAGTTGAACATTTACCTGAGGTAGATACACTCCTTGGAGAGAATAATCATGGGAGAAAGAAGGGCTGCTCAGGCACAGGGAGACAGCTCAGGGGATAGGAGTACATGGAGGCATGGACACAGGGAAGAGGTAACTATCGGGAGGAAGTGGAAGGGGAGATGTTGCATTGTTGTAAATTGTGGTCAATGTCATGAGACAAAGTGTATGTCAACTGCTGTATGGAAAATGTATTTGCTCTGTAAATTTTCACCCAAATCACACACACACACACACACACAAATGGCAGAAAAGGAAGAAAAGACCAAAACAGATGTCAGCAGAGACTCTGAAACTTGCTCTTCAATGGAGAGTAGCTAAAGCAAATGGAAGAAATGACAAGATAAAGGAGCTGAACAGAAGATTTTAAAGAGCAGATTGAGAAGAAAGTCAATTATTATAACAAAAAGTACAAACATTTGGAGTTAGAAAACCTAAAGGGAAGAACACACTTGGTATTTCTCAAGTTGAAAGAACTGAAGAAAAAGTTCAAGCCTCAAGTTGCAACACTGAAAGATTCTATGGGCAAAATATTGAATGATGCAGGAAACAGTAAAAGAAGATGGAAGGAATATATGGAGTCACTGTACCAAAAAAATTAGTCTATGTTCATCCATATCAAGAGGTAGCATATGATCAAGAACCAATGGTACTGAAGGAAGAAGTTAAAGCTGCACTGAAGGAATTATCAAAAAACAAGGCCTCAGAATTGACATAATACCCATTCAGCTGTTTCAACAAATGGATGCTGCACTGGAGATATTTACTTGTCTACGCAAATTTAGAAGACAGCTATCTGGCCAACTAACTGGGAGAGATCCATATCTGTACCATTTCAAAGAAAAGTGATCCCACAAAATACAGAAATTATGGAACAGTATCATTAATATCACACAAGTAAAATCCTGCTGAAGGTAATTCAAAAGCAGTTGCCACAGTATATTGACAGAGAACTCCCACAAATGCAAACCAGATAATGAAGAAGACATGGAAAGAGGGATATCATTGCTGATGTCAGATGGATCTTGGGTGACAGCCAAGAATACCAAAGAGAAGATTACTTATGTTTTACTGACTATATAAAAGCATTCGACTGTGTGGCTCATAACAGATTATGGATAACACTGAGAAGAATGGGAATTCCAGAACATTTCATTAGAATGGGAATTCCAGAACACTTCATTGTGCTCATGAGGAACATGTACATAGACCAGGAGGCTGTCATTTGAACCGAACACGGGGACACTACATGGTTTAAAATCAGGAAGGAAGTATGTCAGGGCTGTATCATTTCACCATACTTATTTAATTTGTATGCTGAGCAAATAATCCAAGAAGCTGGATTATATGAAGAAGAACGTGGCATCAGAACTGGACGAAGAGTCATTAACAACCTGTGATATGCAGATGACACAACCTTGTTTGCTGAAAGTAAAGATGGCTTGAAGCACTTACTCATGAAGATTAAAGACTATGGTCTGCAGTATAGATTACACCTCAATATAAAGAAAACAAAAAAGTTTACAACTAAACTGATAAGCAGTATCATGATAAATGGAGAGAAGATTGAAGTTGTAAATTTTCAGTTACTTGATTCCACAATCAACACCAATAAAGCAGCAGTCAAGAAATCAGACAATGTGTTGTACTGGGCAAATTTGCTACAAAAGACCTTTTTAAAATGCCGAAGAGCAAAGATGTCTCTTTGAAGACTAAGGTAGGCCTAACCCAAGCCATGGTGTTTTCAATCATCTCATATGCATGTGGAATCTGGAAAATGAATAAGGAAGACTGAAGAAGAGTTAGTTGATGCCTTTGAGTTGTGGTGCTGGCGAAGAATACTGAAAGTACCATGGACTGCCAGAAGAACTAACAAATCTGTCCTAGAAGAAATGCAGCCAAAATGCTCCTTGGAAGCCAGAATGGCCAGACTTTGTCTCACCTACTTTGGTCATATTGTCAGAAGGGACCATTCCCTGGAAAAGGATATCAAGCTTGGTAAAGTGGAGGGTCAATGAAAAAGGGGAAGGACCTCAATGAGATGGAATGACACAGTGGCTGCAATGATGGGCTCAGGCATAGCAAGGATTGTGAGGCTGGCTTAGGACCAGGCAGTGTTTTGTTCTGTTGTACACAGGGTCACTATGAGTCAGTTCCACTTGATGGCACCTAACAAGAACAAAAATTTAGAGACAAAGAAAAGAACAAGAGATCAAAGGTAAAGAAAGAAATGAAGCTATCAAAGAAAACAACAACCACAAAACAGAATCATAAGACATTAACGACAAAGAAGTAGCAGGTAAGTCAAGGAAGAGAATGAGGGTCAGAAGAGCTTCCAGAAGGGGTTACTTGGTCAAGTGTCAGATGTGGCTAAGATAAAAAGATAAAATTCAGAAGAACTAACTGCATTTTCCTCTGTAGGGCAGTTCCACTCTGCTCTAAAGGGTTGCTATGAATTGGCATTGACTCAACGGCTGTAGGTTTTTTTCTTTTTTATGGTTTTGAAACTGCATTTCCTAAGTAGAGCCTTAATGATAATCTCTGGAGTCTTTAATAGCAGGGGATTGAAAGTTAAGTTTGGAAGTGGTTAAGGAAGGAACAAGTGGGTTGTGACAAAAGAATAGCTGATTCCTTTATATCAGATATCATATGAGATACTTGTTCCGAGATTTAAGAATAGCTTCAAGAATAAAATTAGTCATTCCATCAGAAAAATAATACTAACGTCAAACTAATAAAAGTCAGAAGAAGCATCTTCTTAAACAAACCTTTGTCAGTAACACAGAATATAGGAAAAGTAATACTCCGAATTTGTTTCCCCACATTGAATACTGGTCCAAGACAGCATCTTTTAATTCTGACAGACTTCTGAATGATCTTTTGCTGGAGGGAAAAAAGAATTAAGTATTAGTTTCATGATTAGATGAGTACATTTATAAATTGGGAAGTTTTAAATTGTCTTATATATTAAAACATATACATACAAACACGAGAGTTTTGTGTTTCAAATTTTCTAATACAAATTTAGTTGTTAAAAACTAATGGTGATAGCTGTCATTATTAATTAATATATAACATTAATATATAGATTGCCCACTTGGCAGCAGACTTCTGCACCTCTTATGTGAATATCTAGTATTGATAAATTCTTCAATAACATACATTTATTTAGAGAAGAGAAAGATCCTTTTCAAGAGGTGTTTCAGAACTAAAAAAATAATTTTTTAAAGACTAGAAATTATTTAACAAATATCTAAATGCCAAAGTATATATATATTTTTAGAAGAAATTAGTGTTAAACTCCAAACCAAATGTCACCTATATTCTTTTAACATGTCCATCCTTCCCTTTTATTTAATAAAAAGTTTAAATACTCTAATGAAACTACGGGTACTTTGAATGAAAAGTATAGAAAGAATATTTGGGCAATTAAGGAATAATTCGATTATTTATCCCATTAAAACTCTTTATGTTCACTCTAGACAGAGAAATATTAAGTTAAAATAATTTTTTAAAATTGTAACTATGAAAAAACTTTCAATTTTTTAAAAAGGTATATCTGGATAATTAATTAAGGAATCAGAATTTAAGTACACATTTACAAATTATTCTTTTTTTAATTTAAAATCTAATTAATCCTCAAGCAGTGGATTTCAAATTCATGTTTAAGCAGTGCAATATTATATAAATCTAAGTACCTTTCCACATTATGAACAGACTTAAAATGGCAATGTGTTCACAAGGTAAGTATTTTAAATGTTCCAATGTTACTTACTTAATTAATGCATGAAATCGCTCAAAGCCAAGCTCTTCGACAGCCAAGGCAGCTATACATAAAAGACACTTTTCAGCACTACACATGGCAAATAAATGACACAAGATACACACAGCAGGCTGTAAATACTTTCAAGCAATCAAAATTGGTCCCTATTTCCTTACTCCCTTAAAATTCTCAGTTTAGTTTCAACTTTATTATAACATGAATTTATATTCAATATCTTAGTTACTACAACTAAAATGGATGTAACACTGAGAATGTAGAAGGGCAATAAAATAATAAACATTTCATTCCAATTCAGTTATGCTAGGATAGTTCACAGAGAATGAGAAATTATCAACAATCATAGTGCTTCACACATGATTGTAATGTGTCCTATAATTTAATCTTTCAATTTATAGATTAATGTAAAATCATCATCGTAGTTAATTTTTCTCTCTTGTAATATTAAATCTTTAGGTTTGCTACTTAATTATTAAACAAATGTATATAAAAGAGGCATAGCATTTTGAAAGTACACAGGTTCAATAACTACTTTGTTTCCTCATTTATTCATATAATTATGGAGAAGTTATCAGTAACTTATACAAAGAAAAAAAATCAAAGAAATCATTTTAATTAAAGGTAATGTTTATTGAGAACTTAACTAAGTACCAGGAAATGTTCTATAGGTCTTACCTCATTTAATCCTCACACAATCCTATTATCTCCATTTTATAGAACAGGAACCCCTGGTACAGAAAAGTATCCTCCCAAGAGCACACAGCAATAAATAGCAGAGCTGAGATCTGAACCCAGATAGTCTTAGCTCCACAAATACAAAATCTTTAAAGATATGACACATGAATCAAAATGCCTACTCTAATTTATCAAAATGAACAATTTCACATATATTTTGTAAAGCAAATCTTAGTATTCTCAAACAAATTCTCACTAGAGAGTTCAGGAGATTGATTCTTTATTAATTCAAAATCAAATTTACAATTTAAAATGTCACACTATGCTACTGTTTCAAAATCTAGTTTCAGTTTTCAAGTGTTCCAAATTATTTTTTAAATCTTTAGAAGTCCAAGTAGATTAATATAAATAACCATTTGAATTATGTGGGAAACAAACTGAATTTGAACCTGAGTATTCACTATTGCATACAAGTGTGCACTACCAAGAAGCCAAAACTATACACACCACAAAAGCCAATGAAATTAATGATTGAACAGAATGTATTGTTAACAGAAGGGGTACGTCTTCACATTTAAGATTTTAAGAATAAAATAAAAATTCTACCTAATCTTTTCCAAACTATATTAACTATTCTGCTGTGCTTGATTATCCCAATAGTTTTACTAGGCTATGAAAGTAGACATAAAGATAGTAATTTACAGAAAAGAGGCAGGCAAATAAAAAGCTTAGCAGGCAAGGATGGTGGAAAAATATAAAACACAAGAAAAGTAACATAGCTGGGAATAAAGGAAAGAACAGGTAGAACAGATTGTTACATGAAATAAAAATTTTAACATCCATTCAGTTCATCTGTCAATATCTAAAATAAATTCTCAAATTTTCAGTTAACAAAACTTTCCAAATTTACACAGTATTAAACATTAATATATAGACTTGCTTTAAGTACATATTCTTTAATATACGTTTTAAGATAGTTCAATGATTCCTCTCAAAATCTTAATATCCTAAATAAAATTATTAAACATATTTACATACAACTCAGTAAAACCCCAAAAATAATTTTAAGCTGATCTTAATGTATTTATGACTATCATCGCTGCAGACATTTTCTACTTGTCTTCAACTGTCATTTCAACTTTTAAAATATGTTAAATTCTTTTTCAAAGGCTATGCTTGAAAGACTGAAAAGGAAACGTGATTCAATTTTTCAAATTTAAAATATTATTCCTTGCAAAAATTATTTTAAAAATTATTCTCTGAGGCAGAGAAAACACTAACATCGATCACAGAGACATTTCAACCCAGGAAGGAAATAGTGCCTTGTATATAAATCCAGGAGCTCTGGTAGCATAGTGGCTAAAGCACTTGACTGCTAACCAGAAGGCTAGGGGTTCAAACCCACCAGCCAATCCTCGGAAGGAAGGTTGGGCAATCCTACTTCCGTAGTGATACTGCCTTGGAAACCTAAGGAGGGGTTGCTATGAGTCGGGGCCGACTCGACGGCACATAACAACAACAACAACATATAAATCCTAGATGGAAAACAAGATGACTATCAAGAGCAATCAAAATTTACTCTCTAGAAATCAGGTATCTAATTTCTTCAAAAACAATTTCTCTAGAGACTAATGGAATGAACTATAGGTAGGACAAGTCACTTGTGCAATATAAACACTTGGGACTACTAATTATCAAAAACTATTTATAGCAAGATAATTTCCTAACAAAGAAAAACAGAAGAGCAATGCTTTTATCTAGCTTACAAACTACCAGAAGTCTCCATTTCACTAGTGCAGTCTGGTAGATGTTAGGTCAAGAATTTTCAAAGACTAACGACCACAATACATACACAATCTTTTATGAATAATAAGAACAGTGGCTACTTAATTTATTTTAAAAACAGAAAAACCTTCAATCGAAATATGAAAAACTTAAATAAAGGCAATTTATAATTAAAACTACCTTAAAGTAATCTATATAAAGTAACAATGCATAAAAATTTCATGAGGGGAAACCTTATCAGTCTTAAAAGTGCAATGAAGGAGAATGTTCCCATCTTTGCAATAGAAAGAAACTAAAGACATATAAGAAATTTTCTGATGTTAAAAAAAAAAAATCATTTTTTTTTGTTCCAAATACCAAGGAAAACATTAAGACATCTGAAACTAAAGCATATAGAAATATATTCTTTGAACTTTTTGAATGAGGGTTCTAAAACTCAAAAGACTGTCATCAAGCAAAGATAATAAGAATTTCTGTAAAAGTTTAAGAGATGCTTTTTTTTTTTTTTTGCTTTTTTTAAAAAACAAAAAACTTAATAAATCTTCCAGTTTAATGGAAGAAAACTGAAAAATTACAAAGGCTCATGAATTAAGCTAAAAAAAGAGATATGAAAATTAAAATTTTTTTTCTGAAAAAATTTCAATAGTTTTATTAAAACAAAGGAACAAGAAATGATGTCAAGAAATCAAAATGTATCTTACAAGAAGGTTCCACTTGGCGACTAGACTCTGCAGGACTCCCAGAAATACCAGCAGTTTCTTCAGTTGTCTTTCCTCTTAACCATGAAACCAAGCAGTATGATCCAGAGTTGTCACAACAAGCACTTTCTAATATATCACACAAGGTATGACAAAGGAGTTCCTTCCGCTCTTCCTCTAAAAATAATCAAAGAATAAGTTACAATGGTTTTCTTTGAAGGTGGGAAAAATCCTGTCATAAGAAACAATATTGAGAATGTGTTGATTTAATAATAAAAAATCAAGCATTTTAAGTCAACATAAAAAATATATTTTAAATTACGTTTCAGAACAATGTGCTTGAGGGTCAAAATATTACCACTGTTACAGTACTACTAATGATTAAGAAAAGAATCCTAAAAAATGTAGAATTAAACATGATGAGAAAGAATATGCTACTTGGAATAATCTGTAGAGATGGTCCTTTTCATTAAGCTGCAAATGTAGCATGTAGCATTTAAGCCATGCAGTTTTCTTTATTGCAGAACTAGGCACTACGCAAGGACCTGTTTAGAGTACTTTTTTTCCATTTCTGTATTCATCTGATGTCTTTGCTCTCTCTGTCCCACAGGGTAAGGACAATGAGATAACACACCATCAGCACATACAATACCACAATTCACTACAATAGCAGAGGCTGAAGTGACCATGTGGCATAATACAAAAGCTGCTGAAACTGTATTTCTATTACAGAATTTTATAGAAAATAGCACAAATGCCCAGACCACTTCTTTTTGAACCTTAGTAACCCTCCTCTTTTCAAGTAGTATTGTTCAGATTACTCTCTAGAAGTAGTGACAACTTTCTGAACTTTAAAAGAAAACAGATATATGCACATTATATGTAAAATTTTGTGCTACAAGGCGTTCTCTGTCTTTCCCAATAAATTTAGATTTCTTGAAAGGCAGGAACTGTGCCATCCACTTTATAACCTCCATAGCATTTATGACAATACTTTGCAATTTGTTTTTATTAAAGTGAATATTTCCATGTGAGAACTTTTGCAATTGTATTAGAGCTTAAATTCTAAAGCACTTGGTTTGTGGAAGGCTGTGGTCTACAATGGGAGCCCTAACTCCATTTTAAGTCTTTACATAAATTCAGACATCATTTGAGTTTTTTCTGATCATAAAACCAATAATGTGGCTAGGCCCAGGGTACATAGTCATAAGTCATACCCAGACCATGATGTAGCCAGGTAATCAAGCCCCAGAACCAATTCTGTAATCCTTTTTACACTTCAATTGTGTACATATCCCAATCCTGGTCCTTTACCCACTTTTCTAGTCCTGGCTCCAACAGTGAAGAATTGACCTGTCATCAGTTATGATTTTGTGATGATGTCCTTTGTTTTTGATCATATATAATTAGCCCCATGGCCCTAGTTGGTGAACTCCTTTCAGCTTCCATACTATGTACATGCTGATGGTTTCCCTCATCCTGGAAGATTGTGTTTATTTTGTCTTCATCCTAAGGCTTAAAAGGGTCTCTACAAAACATGTTTGAATCTGGATTCTTTTTTCCCCTAGCACACAGCTTATTAAAAAGTTCATGTTATTTTTCTTTTTTTAATTTTTAAGAAATAGTTTATTTTATTTTGTTTTAAGAGCTTGTTTTAAATTCAAAGTTACACGTACATTTAGTTTCATTCTCCATTCGCCATGTCCAACCCCAACCCAGCCTCCTCCCCTACCTACCCTGCAACACTTCCCTGTGCCCATCATAATTATGCACTTCTGTTTGTCCTGCATTTCCTCAGTTTGAATGTTGGTCCTTTGGTGTCCCATGGTTTATTGCATTAGGGGATGCATTACCATTGAAGTGTGTGGGTGCAACATCCTGGGTTGAGTGGTCTGCATGTACATCTCGCTAACCACTGGGCGAGAGCCCACCCCTGGGGGTGAGTTTTATTCCAGGCACCGAATGTATTTCAGCGCCATAGTACTGGGAGTCTCATCAGACTTCATCTGACCAGTAATTCTGGTCATTATTGAGTTTTTGGATTTTGTTCCATGTTTTCCCTCTCACTCTATCCAGGATCTCCAGATTTGATCCTTTACTGAGTGGTTGGCATTGGTAGCCAGGCACCATTCGGTTCTTCTGGTCTCAAGGGCCATCATGTCCTACGGTTAATTGCTTCTAAATGCCCCCCCCCTTTTTTTTTGGTGTGTCGTTCTTCACTTCCAATGCTGGGAGACCATTAGCTGCATATAGATGGCTGCTTGAAAGCTTTTAAGACCCTAGTTGCTACTCACCAATGTAGGATGTGGAGCAACACTTTTATGTATTTTGTTGTGCCAACTGAGTTTGGTGTACTATGGTTCTGAGGTAGTAGCTCTATTGGATCTCTCTCCCATAGTGTTGGGATGTCTGTAAGGGATTACTCTGTGTCTGTCTTCTATTTTTTCTGTAAGGACTGCAGGTATTTTGTATCACTGGTGTCTGTACAAGAGTAGCCTCAGCTGAGTCTATCCTTGGTCTCGCGTATACCTCTATTCACTGTTATTCACTGTTAACATAAAAGTTCATGTTATTATAGTATCTCTCAAACAGTTTCTTCCCTACTAAAATTTATTTTGTCTTTTCAGCTATTTACTAATACAAAATGACAGTGATATTTAACTCTTAAATTCAAAATCATTAATAGATTCTACGGGCATGATGGCTGTAACAATGGGCTCAAGTATAACAACAGTTGAGGATGGAGCAGGATCAGGCAGTTTTGTTCTATTGTATATGAGGTTGCTAGGAGTTGAAACCAACTGGATGGCACCTAACAACAGTAACACGGGCAAGGTTTGAAACATAAGCTAATATGTTCTTATGTTTAAAACTGGGATGGTAGTATATCATACCTTATTTCAAAAGTTATTGTGAGGGCCATACGAAATTGTGTAAGTGAAGGAAAGATCTATGTAAACCATCAAGTGTAATGCAAATGTTCATTATCATCAGGCAGCACCATATATCTCTCTGACTTTATCATGTTGCAGAAGCTAAGATAGCTTCATTTGTGATTTAATTTAAACACTGCAGTAATATTTGCATTGTGTACGGTATTACATTAAATGATGCAGGAATACAAAGGTAATTCTGGGTTCTTGCTCAGAACTAAGTAATATAAAAAAAAAAAACATGAAAATAATTACTCTTTAGGGCATGTTATCATCTAATAGACCAAAAAACCCATTGCCGTACTCAAAGTTAACCCTATAGGACAGAGCAGAACTGCCCCATCAGATTTCCAAGGCTGTAATGTTTAAGGAAGCTGACCGCCTCATCTTTCTCCCACTGAGAGGTAGAGTTTGAACTACAGACCTTTCATTTAGCAGCTGAACACTCAATCACTGTGCCACCAGGGCTCACTGATCACAGTTCAGTGAAAGGCATCATGGTTTAGAGAGAGACCAAAGGTTTTGGCCTCCGTTACATTATCTTGTCTTATATTGCTTAGTTAACAAAACCAAATTTGGAAATATTCTTTTAAAATTTGAGGTCAATTTTCATGAAATTAAAACAAAACAAAATCATACCATTTATAGCTTACTTTTTAAGTTAATTTTAATTAAACTGTTGCCAGTAAATGCCACATAGATCATCTAAAGGATGGAGTAAAAGTTTTTAAAAGAGTTATCATACCTGGGCAATCCCTCCAAGATGACTTCTCAGAAGAAAACAGGAGCTTCTTCAAAAGAAATGCCTTTGCACAATTAAAGCAATGAATATTAGAAAGCATTATGAACATACTTCACATCATTCATTTATTTTTAAATGGGAAAAACTAATTTGTGCCTCCTTTCTGATATTCTGAATTATTCTATTAACATTTTAAATTGTTCCCCTTCACATTCAACAGTACCTGTGCAGAGTTATTGACTCAGAACATACCACTATAAACTTGATTCTAGATCCATAAAATGCTGCTTCTTCTATAATACATACTTTCTAGCAAATAGAAGAAGTGATTTAAAAATAAAAGACACATAACTGGTAACTACAGAAACCTACTGCTCCATTCACAAACTGTAAGCTCTATGAACAGGAGCATGTGTATGTTACTCTTAGATTTCTTAGAAGAAAAGAAATGTAAATAAATACAAAGTGATACTGTTCTTTTAGTTCATATCTATAACACAAAAATACCACTGTGAGAGTCATCTCTTGACTATAAGGAGTTGCTGACTTCTGGTTTAACTCAAAACAACTATTAAGATTCAAATGAAAAAATACATTTTTTTTCTTTTCTTAATTTTTGTCCTTTTCTTAAGTGAGTCAACTGTTTTACACTGGTGATTTGATAGCAAACAGTTCTGTGTAGAACACTATTTCCTTCACAAAGTGCAATCCAGGGCTATCTTCATCTTAATCATCTGAATTGTCTAAAATTCAGATTCTTGATTCAAGTGAATCCAAATTGCTGAGGGGCAGATTCAAGAAAAACAGGTTACCATGGTGAAAGTTATTCTTATGTACTATATGTAAAAAGCATTAATATACAGATGAAGAGAACTGCTTTTGGTCAGAATCTGAGTTTGCATTTTGATTCCACTACTTTACTAACCAGAAATAGTAATAGCACAAACTTTAAAACTTGAGGATTAAAACTTTAAAAGGAAGGATTATATGAAATAATATAAGTAATGTAAATAGTATAATACTTGGCACTTAATATGCAATCAATGCAAAGTATTCTAACAAGAAACTAAATAATATTCTATAGTATTCCAGCAGAAATAAAATCTACACATACTACCATCAAGTACTTCAGATTTTTCCCCAAAACGACAACAATCATAAAATTGAGTAGTATAACTCTTAGAAAATTTTGGAAAAGTGAGGTCAGAACACATTATTTTACCACTAACGTATCCACGTTTGATATACTACTTCTAATTTTTTTACACCCGTTTTTAATTTCATTACAAGTGAGAATCATAATGAGTATGTGATTATGTTTTCTTTTTTACCATTTTCCAACAGAATTCATAACTCTCATTCTTAATCACTAACTACCTGTCAAGCTATTTATCACATTTTATTTATACATTATTTAATGTTTAAATTATATTATTGTATACTCAGGTAGTTTACCATTTTTTTTTACATATAAAAACCCACTGCCCTCAGTCAATCAGGACTCATAGCAATGCCTCCTTGGGTTTCTGAGGCAGTATCACTACAGAAGTAGATTGCCCAACCTTCCTTCCGAGAAGCAGCTGGTGGGTTTGAACCGCCAGCCTTCTGTAAGCAGTCAAATGCCTTAGGCATATCTGTCTGTCTGTCTGTCTATCTATCTATCTATCTATGACCTTCTTGAACATAACCTTTTCCATATGCAGAATTTTTCCTTAAGAAAGATTCACAGAAGTATAATTATTGCTTCTAAGTATCTGCATTATTATGGTTTCACGAACAATGTAAAATTCCTTCCCAAAATCAAAGTACAAATAACGGAGCAGTATAAAACATCATCACCCCACTCATATATACACTGGTCATTATAGTTTTGTATTAAAAATGAGAAAAAAGAATCTACTTATATTTTTATTTTCTTGAATTACTAGTAAAGTTGAACACCTTGATAGTTTTGTTGTCCAGCATATTCCACCCATTATGATTGCATGTTCATGTTCACTGCTTATTTAATCAGCAGTATCTACTAAACTCTGGTGGTGTGGTGATTAAGTGCTCAGCTACTAACCCCAAAATCAGCAGTTCCAACCTGCCAGCTGCTCTATGGGAGAAAGATGTGGCAGTAGGCTTCCATAAAGATTACAGCTTTGGTAACCCTGTGAGGCAGTTTCACTCTGTCCTTTAATAACGTAGCTATGACTTGGAATGAACTAGAAGGCAATGGGTATTTTTGTTTATTTTTCTATTTTGGTGGTACAGTGGTTAAAGTGCTCAGCTGCTAACCAAAGGTTGGTGGTTTGAACTCACCAGCCAGATCTGCAGGAAGAAAATATGGTAGTCTGCTTCCATAAGAATCAGAGCCTTGGAAATCCTATGGGGCAGTTCTTTGTCCTATTGGGTCGCCTTGAGTCAGAATGGACTCCACGGTAGAGGATTTGGTTTTGAGTTCAGTATCTTAGTGTTTTTCTAAGCAAAACCAAAAAAACCCAAACTCACTGCCATCGAATAGATTCGACTCATAGTGACCCCTCTTTGGGTTTCTGAGACAGTATTACTATGGAAGTAGATTGCCCACTCTTCCTTCCGAGGAGTTTGAACCTCTAGACTTCTTGTTAGCAGTTAAATACCTTAGGCACTACATCAAGCAATTTGTATAAATTCTCTGTATAAGAAAGACAATCTCCCTTAAAATTTTTTCACTGCAAACAATTTTTTGAACTTGGAAAGTCATTTTTTTTTTCTTAGAGTTGACAAATACTTTCTTTTAGTTTTCCTACAGTTTAGTAATACAAATAATATATTTGAGATACGGTATGAGTTGATCTAAATTCTGTTGTTTTCTCCCTCGAATTGCTAATCAGTCATACCAATGGCATTTATTACAATTTTTACTTCACCACTGATTTTGTAGTTACTCCTCATAACTAAAATCTCATATGCAATCAGGTCTACTACTTCAGTATTTATTCAGTTCCATAATTACCTTTATGTCTCTAATAATACCTTCATGTTCTAACTTTTATAGTTTAAGACAGTTAGTATCCAGACTTGTTCATTTCTCTTAATGATTTAGTTGTGACTTTTTAATTGAAATATTTATACAACAAAATTCTTTTAGTGATTGAAAAGATTTATGACTTAAACTAAATTACTATAATTAAATAAAGACAGGTGTCAGGATTTTGAACATTACAATTATCCTTTTGTTACAGGGCAACTCCACTTGCAAAAATAAGTAGCATTTTTGAAATATAAAACAGGAAATTCCTGTGGTATGCCTAACATTAAACTATATTCATAGACTTTCAATAAATATCCTGGGATATTATTACTGGTGAAGATGGGACCTGCTTAAATAACCTAATTTGTACATGGACAGGACAAGAATCGTCAAAGTCAGACAATATTTCTACTAGCAACCAAAATCTGCCTTAGTTATTCTATACAACTACTTCTAAGTACTAAATTATAGTTAAATTTCACTCTTTATATTCAGCAACTCTGAGCCCGGGTTCAAATTTAATTTTTATTTAATTCACTAACACAAGAAAAACATCTACTTTACTTTCTAAAGAAATAAAATAGTAAACCATTATAGAGTCCAAAATAATTTTTGGAATCTACCATGGAAAGAGAATTTGTTTTTCCTTTGGAGAAACATATTTTTAATTTAACAATGTAAATTTATAGAGCACAAGGTTTGACACATAAATTTGTTTTGCAAGTAACTGTTTAGGAATGCATTCTTTATGCTGAATGAATAATAAATATCACATTAAATATGTATTTTCAAAATGTGCTGATTAAAATATAATAAATTCTAACTGCTTTTATAACAGTTCTGAAGTTACATTGCTGTTCACAAACATAAGCATCACATTAAAATGAACATTAGTTCTTGGTTTTAATGAAGTTACAGTTTATATCAAATTAGTCATTTGAAAATAAACAATGTAACACATCAAGAATCAAAATCAAATAAATACACTCAGATAAGCTATATTTTGTGCAAAGAAAACACTTATTTTTGAAATTCTGTTTGAAATCAGTTGCTACTAATTTCATTTAGAAAGACCAAAGCTATAGCCTAAAATAGTATATACTTTCAACTTCTTTTTAAAATTGGAAAATTAGATCATGAAAAGAGTAACTTGTCTTCAACTTTTGGGAAAAATCATTTTCACAGACAGAACAAATGAGAACAGTACAATCACTATCATGTACCTTTCTACAGCATAAAATGCTATTATTCAATAGGGTCTTTGTTTTAGAAAAGATGTCATAATCAGTAATGCTTAATTTTCAGAAAGTTAGGGAACATTTGCTTTGTCTTTAAAATAAAATGGTACTGCTGTGCAACTCACCCATGCTCTGAATCTGTTCTTTTTTGACACTGTTATAGTAATTTACATGTGCAAAAGTTAAGTGTTAACTGATCATGTCTCATAATAATACTGAACATAGACATTAGAAAACAAAAGGTATAAAGAAATGTTTGAGCACATCCCTCTAAAGAGTTGGTAAAGTAGTCTATGTTACCTGAACGGGTGCAATAACAGCACAGGGGCCACCTTCAAACTGTTCTAATGCAGATCCCTCTGATTCACTAAACACAAACCCTAAAAATAAAAGCAAGTAGCAAAGATTTAAAATGTCATTCAAGTAGCGGCTAAAAATATATTTAATGTACTTTGCTTTGAAAGATCATTTATCACAATAGACAAATATCTGTAAGTAAGTCAGATGCAGTGGTTCTCTACTTTTTGAGGGATCAAGGAATCCTTTACCTCAAAAAAGGTATGGAACCTATATTCTTTCTTCCAAATGCACCTAAGTACACACACACACACACATACACACACATGCACTTTTTTACCCAGGGACCCCTCTAGATAGATAATGTAGGAACTTTAGTAATTAAAGGGGATGAAATACGACTTTTAAATACTCTAAATTAAATACTTATAATTTACTCTAAGGAGGACTATATAGTCTTATCCACTGAATTCAAATGGAATTTTTAGGACCTTTCCATGCAGCAGTGATACCACCTCGGAAACCCAAGAAGGGGTCGTTATGAGTTGGATCTGACTTGATGGCAGTGAGTTTGGTTTTTCGTTATCACTACAGAAGTAGACTGCCCAACCTTCCTTTCAAGGAGTGGCTGGTGGGTTTGAACTGCCAGCCTTCTGGTTAGCAGTCAAATACCTTACGCACTATGGTACCAGAACTCCCTCTGGAATAATACGCAACAAAATGCAGCCACTGCCATGGAGTTGGATCCAACCCCTCCTTGGGTTTCTGAGGTAGTATCACTATGGAAGATTGCCCAACCTTCCTTATGAGGAGTGGCCAGTGGGTTTGAACCACCAGCCTTCTGGTTAGCAGTCAAGTGCCTTAGGCATTATGCTACCAGAGCTCCCTCTGTAGTGATACTGCCTCGGAAACCCACGGAAGGGTTGCTATGAGTTGGATCCAACTCCACAGCCATGAGTTTTTTTCCCCATACAGCATACATGTTTTTAATCATTTCAATCTTTGAAAAGAAACATGAAATGGCATCATAGACAGTAAATGTGCTCACACGATTCTATCATAATTTAAATATTAGCCAACTAGAACTGACTGATAGCAGGTAGTAGAAGCTCTCACAAAGCAAGCATATAGCAGAGTGCTGAGCCTGAAGTCAGGAGAATTGAGTTATTATCTGTATAACTTGAGGGAAATTATTTCACTTCTTTAGTCCTCAGTGTTCTTATTTTTAAAATGATCGCTTCCAATTCTAACATGCTATTGCTGTTGCTAAGGCACTGTGGTGGCAGATGGTTAAAGTATTCGGTTGCTAATCAAAGTTCAGCAGTTCAAGCCCACCTGCTGCTCTGTGGGAGAAAGATGAAGCAGTCTGTTTTTTGTAGATTTACAGCCTTGGAAATCCTATGGGGCAGTTCTACTTTGTCCTATAGAGTCACTTAATGGCAGTGAGTGGTTGTTGTGTGGTGGGAGTCCATTTCCTAGTCTGTACTCTTAAGGGAGCTATTGCCAAGTCTTTTCTCCTGAGGAACTGGAGCTATTTATTGGTGGGCTCGAACTACCTACAAGCACTTCACCACTGCAGCACCAGGGCTCCTTTCTAACATGCTAGGAATCTATATTGTCTCATTAATGGTTATAATTCAGCCATTCATTCAACAAACATTCAATAAACATCAAATATTATACCAAACACTCTAGGAAATATGCATGAATGACACAGTTCCTGGTCTGAAGGCACCAACAGTCAATGTGAAGACATACACACAGATATTTACTAAAACAAAAAAAATAAATGAATGCCATAACAGAAGTATGAACAGAGTGCTGTGGATACAGGAAGCAAAGACTTACAATGCCTAAGTCAAGTCTTAAGTGACTTTGAGGCTGCTCTTGAATAGGAGGAATCTGTCAGGAAGAGAATGGTGAGAGAGTAACATTTCGGTAAAGAAAAAACCTTCATTAAAGGAACAAGTTTTTGTAAGAGCAGAGCAATTTTATGGATCAGTAGAAAATTGAATGTGGCTGGAGGGTAGTATGTATTGAGTTAAAGTGGAGGAAGAAGAAAGAAGTTGATAAAATAATACTGGGAAGAGCCAGACCATGACTCAGCTGGATAAGGTCTTTTAGTAAAGTGATCACATTATCATTTTTTTTTTAAGGACAGGAATGAGGAAGAGGTTGTTTCAACAGTCCTTCAGAGATAGTGATGACCCTAATAAAAGCAGTATCCTGTAGAAAGGAGATACTATGTTCTATGCTTCTGAGACAAAACATCAAAGCTTTGATGAATATGTACATGTAGGGCACTGGCTGGGTACAAAATAAAGTAAAGGTATCTCTGAAGTTCCTAACTAAAGACACCAGCTGACAGCAACTGAAGAAATACTGCAGAGGATATCACTCCCTCCCACCTCTTTATCTTCAATCTTTTTCTCCTAGACAGCATTTAAACATTAAAGAAACAAAAACCAAAACATCCTCAAGGTATCCCCCCCCCCCTCAATCTCCAACTACCATGCTCTCATTCTTTTCCTCTCTACTAGTCTCTCTACTCTAATAGTCATCTATGCACACTGTCTCAATTTCCTTATCTCTCAACCAATAACAATCTGGTTTTCAACCTATGGCTGCACCAAATTTCTGAAAAAATGTTTGTCCTGTGGCTTCATTGCTCCCTTTTATTCCAAATTTTCCATATGTTTCTTCTCCATCAGCTCCTTTTAAATACTAACGTTCCCCATGTCTTCGTTTTAGGATCTATGCTTTTTATTCTGTAGTTTCTTTCTGAGTAATCTCATATACTCCAGGACATTCACTACTGGCTATAATCAGGGAATCTTCAAATACAGCCTGTAACAGAACTCTAGACATAGACAAAGTCCAAAATTCTTAGCAAGGTCCTGTATGATCTGCCTTCTGCCTACATCTCCTACCTCTTCCTTTACCACTCTTCTTCTTTAGAGTACAGGCTTGTTGGATTTCTTTCAGGTTCTCAAACGCTCTATGTTTTCTCTCTCTCCTTTTTAATACCCATTGTACATATTGTTCCCTCTGCTTGAAACATTTATTTGCTAACTCTTTCTCTGAAAAACTCTCAGTTATCTTTTAGGCTTCACACTAAGGTAAGGTAAGGTCTTCTTGGTTAAACCTCCAAAACATATCTTGAATCTATTTCTAGCCCATCTGTAGTTCACCTTCTACTTCAAATCATCATCATCTCTCACCTAGGTATTATTAAGAGTTTACAATCAGATACCCCATTCCTTCTACTTTCCTTCACCACTCTACTCACCATAGAGTTGACAGAGAACTATTTTAGAAATGGAAATCAGATTTTGCTACAGTATGCTTCAAACATTTCAATGCCTTCTCACTACAGTTAGAATGAAACCCAAACTCCTTTTAAAGACCTAAATGATGGTACATAATCTAGCTCACATCTATCAATCCAACCTTTCCTCAGGTCACTCTTGCTTTAATTATAAACAATGACTCTAGGTTCCTAAAAATACCCCAAAACTTTTCCTGGGGCCCTGATGCTTGTTGTTCACTCTACATGAAATGTTTTTTCTCATCTCATCTTATGGCTAGGAATCCCTGGGTGGTGTAAATGTTTAACACTTAGCTATGAACCAAAAACAGCTTGGCAATCTACTACTGAAAAGTCACAACCATTGAAAACTCTATGGAGCACAGTTCTACTATGAAACTCATGAGCTCGCCATGAGTCAGAATCGTTTCGATGACAATTGCTTTGGTTTGTTCCTATGGCTAAATACTTTTCATTCTTCAGGACTCAACTCCTCAGACTGATGCTGTTGTTGTGAGTCATAGCGACCCCTCCTTGGGTTTCTGAGGCAGTGTCACTACAGAAGATTGCTCAACCTTCCTTCTGAGGAGTGGCTGGTGGGTTTGAACCATCAGCCTTCTGGTTAGTAACTATGCTACCATGTTGTTGTTGTTGTTGTTATGTGCCATCGAGTCAGCCCCGACTCATAGCGACCCCTCCTTGGGTTTCCGAGGCAGTATCACTACGGAAGTAGGATTACTGAACCTTCCTTCCGAGGAGTGGCTGGTGGGTTTGAACCGCCAGCCTTCTGGTTAGCAGTCAAGTGCTTTAGCCACTATGCTACCAGAGCTCCCATAGTTCCTAACTATGTTACCAGAGCTCCTCTTCAGAGGGATATTCGCTGGCAAACCTATCTAAGGAGGCCTATCTATTATCTTCCAGTACAACCAATACTTATCGTAACCTATAATTACATCACTGTTTACTTATTTATTGTCTGTCTTTCCAAAAAGTATCTTGCCTCTTCTATTTACCACCGTTTTTTCAGTATGAGTGAGTTTCTTTCTATAAAGCAATGTGCAGTTTGAAAAATATGAGACAATGATTTAGCAAAATTTAAAAGTGGGAAATATAGGTCTAGAGCTCTGGGCAGAGGTTAGGATTAGAGATAAAAATCTGAGCAATATCATTCAAGCAGGGCAGTTAAAATGAATGAGTAAATGTATAACAAAGATAACAAAGTTGGGAACATTAAAAAGTGGGCAAAGGCTAAGTCAGCAAAGTAGATTAACAAGGCCTGACACCTCAAGGAAAATAACTGACAATATTTCTGCCAATGATAAAATCTCAAGCTTTCAATGATAATTAGAATTATGGAAAATTGTATCCATGACTTTGAGCCTGACAACTCCTCAATACTCAGACTTTTCTGATGGGATCAGTGGCGATAGTTACAACCATGGCTTTTGATGTCATATAATGGAATGTATTAACATTTAGAAGGTCTACATAAATCACTGAACTAATAATTTCTAAATGACAGATGCATGCTGTTTAAAATTCACACATAGATAAAAGATCCACTCAGAGTACAAGACAGACCAATGGATTTCAATGTAACTGTGTACAAAAAGTTCACTGATATAGTTCTGATTAGTTATTGCAGTGCAGTCCTTGCAACTAACCTTTAAGAATCTACCATTTGTCAAGTTTTATTATGGTATCAAAGAAGAATATCCATCATTATCTGAAAAGGCTATTACAATACTCCTACACCTTTTCTAATTACCTATCCAT